TAGGGTTTTAGGGCTATAGGGTTTTAGGGTCTAGGGCTTTCAAATTGGGTTTAGGGCTTATGATAGGGTTTAAGGTATAGGGTTTGTACCGCGTTTAGGGTTTAAACTGGGGTTTAGCCTTTAGGGTTTATAGCGGGGTTTATATCCGAGTTTAAGGCTTATATTAGAGGTTTAGGGTATAGGGTTTGTGACAGGGTTTAGGGTTTACAACCGGGTTCAGGTGTAAGGGTTTATAACCAGGCTTAGGGATTAGAGTTTGGGATTCGAGGTTTATAGTTACAGAATGGTTATACCAACCGGGAGCACGGCGCAAACGTGCACTAGCACGACGCGCGAGACACATGCAGGTGCATACGCCGAGAACCCCAGATGGGTACGAATCTGATGGCTACATGTTGCTTGCATCGACGCGCATGCAATGCGACTTACGGTAGGCCGGTAGGCTGCGAAACCCTAAACCCCTAAACCCTAAACCCCTAAACGACTGCCTCGTCTAGCAGGCCGCCACATGAAGCGCGATGGGTCTCGTCTGCGGCGCTGGCCACGCGGCTTGAAGGTTTAGGGGTCTGGGGGTTTAGGGTTTAGGGCTTAGGGTTTAGGGCTTACCTAGAGGCCCGAAAGTATGGCTAATTTTTGGTCAAACCGTAATGGGCGTAAATTTCCGTAAACGGGCGTATTTGTGCGTAAACCTGAAATCTGGGTATTTCAGTGGGGTACTATATATAGCCATCAGCCTATGAATTCCCTAGCCATCAGCCTATGAATTTCTTAGCCATCACCCTATGAATTCCCTAGCCATCAGCCTATGAATTTCCTGAACCCGAAGTTATGTAGGTCAACCCGGTCAACCCCAAATATAGTCCACCTCCACAAAACCCCTTGCAAACCCCTTAAAAAAACCCTACTTTCTCTACAAAACCACCTGCAAACCCCTTAAAAACACAAAACCCCTTGCAAACCCTTAGAAAACCCTACTTTCCCTACCCAACTCCCTGCGCAAACCCCTTAAAAAACCCTACTTTCTCTACAAAACCACCTGCAAACCCCTTAAAAACCCTACTTTCTCTACAAAACCCCTTGTAAACCCTTAGAAAACCCTCCGCCTCCGCAGGCGTTTACTGACTTGATACTAGGGGTACCCATAGGGCTCTAAGTGGTTCCTTTATATGGTTTATATTGGGAATCCTATAAGGTAATCCCCCAAAAGGAATTACTTAGGGGCCTATATGGGTAGTACGGTAAGTGGTTCCTTTATATGGTTTATATTGGGAATCCTATAAGGTAATCCCCAAAAAGGAATTACTTAGGGGCCTATATGGGTAGTACGGTAAGCCCTATAAGCTCCCTTTATAGTGCTGTATTCAGATAGGGATCCCTATATTCCTCTATGGCCCAATTCAAACACGAAATCCCGTTATAACCTTCACCCCCGCCCCACAGGCCACGAAGCTTGGGTTTAGGCCTTATGGTTCCCTAAACCCTTCCTGCGCCGCAATGGATGCGGCTTCATCTGACATGGTTAGGTGGGCCTGGCTAGTTTTCCCATAACACCTGCGAAGCTGGTACTCTTTTGCCCTCTCTGGCCAGGCCCGTCCCCCGGCAAAAGCCGCTGTGGACCAGGAATGCGGTGCGCCTGCAGACAGGGCTTTGTGCAGTTTGGTCGTTTCTGCAGGGATTTTGACTGCTTCTTTGATTCGTGCCCTTAATCTAGCATTTTGCTTGCAAGGATTCGGACTGGCTGTAGCCTCGGGGTAGCCATGGCCAGCAACAGCAGCTTTGATGCTAGAGATATGAGCTGGGTGAGCTGTCTTCCCGAGCAGTGGGAGGATATTCGTGCATTTCGGCGGCGCAGCTCGGAGGGCAAGTCGCTTGCACGGGGTATTATACAGCCGGGACATGGTGTGAAGGAGGTCGTGGTTCCTTCGCTAGATTGTGCCAAGCTGAACTCACAGCTTCTATCAACTACGCTGAAAGAGATGGCCGACCGCTGTTGCATATTCGTCCCCCCAGTGTATCTTCTACAAGGTGCATGCATCGAATTCCACTCTAACTGTGGGTTTCCGGATGCTGCGGCCCTTGGAGTTGCCGGAAATTCGGATGGCTGGGCTATCAAACGACTACTCAATGTCGTCAAGCGCAAGTGGAATCGCCCTGAGACCCCTCGAGAATCTTGCCGGACACAATTACAGTTCGGACTACTGCGTAATCGTAATATTTCTTATATGGTAATAATTATAATATTAACAACAATATAGTAATAATTCCGAAATGATTCAGGAACCTTACAAACAAGTAGATTTTGGTGGGTTGTAACTATGGGTCACTAAAATTCGCAATGCCTGATCCCAGGACGCAACCATTCGTCGTCTGACAGATGAGTTCCAGCGAGCTTATGTCAATCTGGAGTCTGTGCCTCGATCAAATATTCATGGGGCCTGATGTTCTTCTGCAAATTGTAATTATTTAGGCCCCGCGGGCCTACGTTAGAGGGGTTTTGGGTTCAGGGACCGGCCTCCGCCGCCTTTTCCCCAGCCCTAGCCTCTGCCAGAAGCCAGATGGATGTCATCCAAAGCCTGTTGCATGGGCTCGTTTTCTTGAGTTGCCTTTCGGGTTCCTGGTCTGGGGGTCTATAGGGGCTTGGGGTTTTTAGGGCGTGTTTATAGGGGATCTGTGGCTCTAAGGGTTTGGGGTTGTTTGGGCTCTTCTAAGGTTTTTACGGTGTCGGGTTCAGGATTGGATCCTGCGGAGGCTTTCTCTAAGACTACAGCACAACAGAGTAGAAGCACTGAGCTGGAAACCCGAAACAAAACTAAGTACAGACTTTATATGTTATTCTGCAAAGCCCTATATAAACATTATTGCAATAAACCCGGAACCTATATAATAAACCCTGAAGTGCAAAGCCCTTTAGGGGTACTTCTAGGGTTCTAGTACCCGAAACCATAATCACCGTCAGGCCGTGGGCCCTCGTATTGCAAAGCTTCTTCGGGAGAGATCCGCGGAGAGCGACGACCCGAGCGACGTGGCGGATCTCGTGCAGCAGGCACTTCCCCCGGCCGTCGACGAGGGTGCGGTGGTGGCTGGGGATGGAGAATCCTTGGGTGCAGAATCGGGCGGTGAGGACCACACTGTCCGGTATGAAGCCTCTAGCGAGGAGGAAAACCCTGTGGATGAAGCCCCCAGCGATGAGGAGTTCAACCCTGTTGTGGATGGAGCCCCTGGCGATGAGCAGGCCAACCCTGTTGTGGATCAAGCCGCCAGTGATGAGGAGTTCAACCCTGCGGTGGATGAAGCCTCCCCCAAGCCTGTTGTGGACGAAGCCACTACCGATCGGGAGTTCGACACTGTTGTGGCCGAAGCCCCTAGCGATGAGCAGGTCAAGCTTGATGATCTTGCCCGGCAGCTACGTCTGGCGGAGTTGAAGCTAGAGGCCCTGCGCCTGCGACTTGGACATTGGACAAGTATGGTTGCATGAATATTTGCTGCTGGTCGTAGAAAGCAAACCATTCTTGCAGCATGCATGATAAGTGCATTTGTGCTGAGGATGGCCCTGGAGCGAAAGTGCAATGTAGGGCAGCTGCAGCTGGATGGTGAAGGACTCCAAATGGGTAGTGTTCGGAATTGCAAATACTTTTGTTGCTTGAGTGCTGCCGACGAGTGTCAGGACCTATCAGTGTTTCTGATGACGAGGCATCTGCTGTCCCAGATCTCCCGGCACCCACGACTACCCCTACACGTCTCGATGCAGTGGAAACCCAGGCTTATGTGGTGGACACGCAAATGGTGCAGGAGGTCCTTGCAGGGCTTGATCAGGAAGTGCCATCGCCAGGCCAGCCATTGGCTTCGGCGAGACTTCCGAGCACAAAAGTGCTGCCAGGATACGATGACTCGCCCGAGCCCAAAGCAACGACCGCAAGGGTGGAGCCGAGCAAGGAAGCTGTGATGACACCCAGCCCGAAGAACCTGCCCGAGCCCAAAGCAACGGATGCCAGCGTGGAGGAAGCTGTGGTGACACCCAGCCCCAAGCACCTGCCCGAGCCCAAAGCAACGGAT